GGTCCTACCTTTTCCCAGAGATTGTGCTGCTTCATGTGCTGGCGTCCATCTTGGGTTTCTGCAGAGCATAGTGGGAGTCTTTTATGCCTTCACGCCTCTGAGGTCCATCCCCCAGAGGGGTGTGGCTAATTACATATAAGCCTGTGATCCGCACATGCCCTTTGCACTTGTGTCTTTGTGTTGCTACAGCTCTGTGTATACTCTTGTGACTCCCCTGGAATCTGGCTCGGCTTGTGATTAGACCATTCTCTGTGTTTTCCTTTGATCTGACCTTCCGTTGCTGAACCCGGCCCGTGACCTGTGATTCTTGTCCACTGTTTCTGTACCGTTTTGTCCCGTTGTTGTCGACCCGGCCTGCCTGACTTCGCTATTGTCATTCCTACCAGCTACACGCCATTGGCGGCGGCCATTGGCGGCGGCCGGGTGTCTCGGGGGCCGCAACCTGGTTCCTGGCTGTGTCAAGTTTATCCCCACCATCAGGGGCTCTGGTGAAGGGCAGCCTAGGACTTAGACTCCGCACCCTGAGGGACTTCGGTCTGTGGGTGGTTGTTGTCGTCAGTCAGTGCGTTACCCGGCCACTAGGCCTGCCTGTCCGTTCCACAGCCCCTGCCCTGACAATGTCCCCTTCAGGGAGATTTCCCCTTACTTTCTTTTCTGAAGCCACAAGGGGAAATCTCTACTTGGGTCATTTCTATCTTAGTTGTCCTTGGTGCAGGTGTCCCTGTCCAATATATGATTTAGAACCAGAAACAACCTCTCCTGCGCTCTATGACCCAGAATAAGGGTGGATGGATGGAACCAGAACTTGAAAAATTCGACCACCAATGCATATAAAGTTGTGCAGCTCCAAACAAGGCTGGGGAAGCGTCAGCCGTACTCTGAGTGTCTACCCCTATGATGGGACTTGCGCAGGCTTCATAATTCTAAAGTTCCTTTGAGGACTTACATGCTTGATTAACTTCGCTGGGGAAGCCTGACCAGTACTGCAATGCAAAACAAAAAAGCGCACCAACCTTGCGCATTACCTCAGTAAACCAAAATTTATTGAATACAGAACGATACTCACAAACAACGAAGTTAATCAAGCATGTATGTCCTTAACCACTTCCCCCGACCGGCCGTGGCATATAAACGGCCAGATGGTGGCACTGCAGGGTTGGGTGGCCGTTTCTAAACGGCCTCCCCGCACCCTGCTTGTGCGCGCTCCCTGGGAGCGTGCAGCACTGCGATCCGATGCCCGCTGTGTCCTTCGGACACAGTGAAACACCGATCGTCGGACGGGACCTCTGTACGAGGTCCCGATCATGTGATCATCTGATTGGCCAATCAGTGATCACATGCAAAATAGTAAGCAAGATGTCACTTGTGACATCATTGCTTACTACGTGTGAAATCTGTGAATGATCACAGAGGTCACATGGTACAAGGCTATTCACAACAGCCTTGTACCATGTGACGAGCTGTGACCAATCACAGCTCACTCAGTACTTCTCAATGAGTGCAAGAATGCAGCCAGAGAGGAGGAGAAATGATTGCTTTTACATCCTTTATGGGTGTAAAAGCAATCAGTGTAAAAAAAAAATCTTCATCACCCCCCACAAGTAGTACAGTGTCACCATGGTGACACTATACTGCTAGGGTGACAGTATGTAAAAAAAATAAAATAAAAAAATAATATAAAAAAATAAAATACAAATGTAAAAAAGAAATGTTTAAAAATTATAATTTTTGGTTATAAACTAATTTGGATTTTACTAAAAAGATAATGGAATAAATTTTGGCCAATATTTATGATGAAATATTATTTATTTGCAAAATGTTATAAAAAAAAACACTTTTTTAAAAATTTTTTTGGACTTTTTCATTTATATAGCAAAAAAAATAAAAATCCCAGTTGTGAATAAATACCACCAAAATAAAGCTTTATCTGTCTCAAAAAAATGGTAAAAAATTCATTTGGGTACAGTGTTGCATGACCGCGCAATTGTCATTCAAAGTGTGATAGTACCGAAAGCTGAAAATTGCCCTGGTCAGGAAAGGGGGTAAAAGTGTCCGGACTGGAAGTGGTTAAAGGAACTTTAGAATTATGAAGCCTGCGCGAGTACGGCTGATGTGTTTTCGAAGGGCGTCCCTTCTTCATCAGAGCTAACTGAACTAATATGGTAGAGATCACTCATTGTTCAGTTAGCTCTGATGAAGAAGGGACGCCCTTCGAAACGCGTCAGCCGTACTCTGAGTGTCTACCCCTATGATGGAACTTGCGCAGGCTTCATAATTCTAAAGTTCCTTTGAGGACTTACATGCTTGATTAACTTCGTTGTTTGTGAGTATCATTCTGTATTTAATACATTTTGGTTTACTGAGGTAATCCGCAAGGTTGGTGCGTTTTTTTTCTTTTTTGTTTCGCTTTGCTATATGTGATTTTACCCTTGCTCTTGCTTTGATGGCATCTCTAAAAATAGTGGCTTTCCCCTCACTTTTTGTCCAATGACGGTAGCCACAGGACAGATATGGAGGAGCGAATCTCCCCAGTAGGTACACAGGTAAATACTTGACAGAGGTTCTAAATCTTACCCACCCATTTAAGACTTAAAAAAAAAAAAAAAGGTTTTTCCTTTACATCTGAAGAAAAAAAGCAACCGAATGCCTGAGCTCCTGCGCTGGACAGTGGACTCCACAATGTCAGTATCCTCACATGTGTATGGAAGGAATGCAAGCTGTGCTGCCCTCAACGGACCAGGGAAATCCAGACAGAACTGTATATGAAAAGACAAAAAAAGGGCGCACGGGCCTAGTGCATTACCTTTAGAAACAGAATTTATTGATAAAAAGTAAAATACTCACAAAGAAAAATAAAATGGAGAGCATGTCACAAGAAATGCACTGTGATCCAATCACCCTGAAGGTGGTCTGGTGGGGGACTGTAGACCTCTAGATAGCTGATGGCTAATGCGTTTTCGAGGCTGTGCCTCTTCCTCAGAGCTTGTCAGCAGTATTTTTCTGTGCATGAGCTGAGTGGTTCCGTTTATAGTTCTGACGTCAGTTGGACTACGTTACCTGGGGCTGTCCAATTAAGATGGCAGAACATGGAAGAAGGCCCAGCGAAGATGGCAGATTGCTTTGGCATGCAACTTTCCCGTAATGAGCACAGAGGCTGTATAATGGCAAAACCATTGGGGCCGATAGCGGAGTTTAAGTCTGCTCTAACTTGTATATCCAAAACAAGAATAGAAGACTACAGCTTGCTTTTAAGACCAATGCCACACTTGAAATCCTGTCCCAAAAGGAGAGGGGGGTTTCGGGAGAAGTTTAGGGCCTAGTAGATGTACAAGGGTCCCAGACACATCCTTTATGTCCCCCGCAGTTAATCAGGAGGATAGTGCATTTGGTCAAAGCTGTGCAACTGCCAATCCATACTTGTAAGCAGTTGGTGTCTGATGAGGCCCTGTCAGTATAGACAATGCAGATTGGGAGATTTCTTTGTGCCTTTTTGCAGTCCTTATTGTTTTTTTTTGTTTTTTGTTTTGGTTTTTGCCAAAAGCCCCCCTAACTAAATCATAGTTGCATAGTTAGTCTGGCTGAAAAAAGACAAAGTCCAGTTCAACCATCGAAAAAAAAGTTATAATCCTACACCCACAGTTGATCCAGAGGAAGGCAAAAAATCCTGAACAAAAAAATAACATATTGCAACTTACCAGTCCTTAACGTGGCATTTAACCCCCAAATTCGAAAGTCTTTTTTTGTCTTTTTTAAAATAACAAACATGTTCTACTTACCTGCTTTTTGCAGTGGTTTTGCACAGCGCAGCCCAGATCTTCCTCTTCTCAGATCCCCGCCGGTACTCCTGGCCCCTCCCTCCTGTCGGGTGCCCCCACAGAAAGCTGCTTGCTATAGGGGCTCCTGAGCTGCGGTTCTGCTTGTCCATTCACACACAGAACTGCGGCTTGGCCCTGTCCCTCCCTCTCCTGATTGGCTCACTGGCTGTGGTTGACAGGAGTCAGAGTCTCCAGAGAACCGAGGCTCCCATGGACATCGCTGGATCTGGATGGGTCTCAGGTAAGTGCTAATGGGAGCTGCTACACACAAGGTTTTTTTTTTCTTTAGCTTCATGCATAGAATGCATGAAGGTAAGAAAAAACCTTGAGCCTTTAGAACCACTTTAACAATCATTAGATGTTTTGGCTGCATTAGTTTTCTTTTTTTAGGCTTTTTCCCTTGGTGATCTGGCAAGTAACACACCTCCTGGGATAAAGGTTTTACATAAATAGAAAAGCTGATCATTGTAAGCACCCTGTCATTGGTAAATGGTTTGTCTCATCCCTGTAACTGCAAGGGAGCTTTTCTATTGAAAAACAGACTTATTGGCCAGATCAGCAGCTGAAAATAGAAAACCTAAAAAGGAAACGAATGCTTCCATAACATCTAAGAAATGGCAAGCTGCAGTATAATAAATGTTTGCTTTTGGGTTTAATACTGATTTTACAGTTGCAAGAAAAAAGCATGTGAACCCCTTGGGATTACGTGGAGTTTTTCATGAATTGGGCATAAAATGTGCTCTGAACGTCATCTAAGTCACAACAATAGAAGAACACAGTCTGCTGAACATAATACTACACAAACATTAGATGTTGCCATGGTTTAATTGCACATAACATGTAAACATTCACAGTGCAGGGAGGAAAAAGTATGTGAGGCCCTAGCTTAATGACTTCTCCCAGAGCTAATTGGAGCCAGGAGTGAGCCAACCTTGACTCCAATCAGTGTGATGATATTGGATGTGTTGCTGACAGCTGTCCCGCCCTTAAAAAAAAAAACACCTGTTTTCTTGCAACTGTAAATGTGGTTTCTGCATTTTTTTTTCTTTTTTCCGACTAAGAACATTATCTGTAAAAACAGAAAACACTCTTCGATCCTGCCATAAATACAGTGTCCTTGTTACGTCCTGTGAGTTGACATGAAAGTAAAGGCAATGTTGTCCTTCTCTAAACTGCTATTCCCCCCCATCCTCCATGTACTGCAAATGAACAAAGACTGACGTGTTTGCAGTTCAGCTTGGGTGCCAACCATGGCTCCTCAATGGATACAGTGGAGTGAATGAGAGTTGTCACCCAAGGTAAAAAATTCTGTTATTTGCCCGATTACCATGTGTAAATGAAGGAAAAAGAGCCTGAAAAAATAAAACTAGTGCATCTAAGGACAGATGAACAGCAATATATAAAATTTTTGGTTTGTATACACTTTTTAAATTAGCACTTCCTTAAATTCTGCTCCCATAGTAGTCAAAACAGGGAGATGTTGCTCCGTCACATCTCACTTGTAGGTGAACAAGGTTTTGCAGCACATGAGCAACACAGAAGGAGCAAGTAAGGTAGCCTCTTTAGAGATCCTGCTGCGGCCGCACTTCCGCTGGAGAAAGGATTGCTGATATGACATTACTGAAAATCTCCTTACTGTCAAAGGTCTCACAACTTTCAAATATACAGGTAAACTGAGGAGGCCTGTACCCTGCATCTAGATTTAGATACCCCCCATATTTGCTTTTTTGTAAAATATCCAATCATCTTCTTTCAGGAAGTCCACTGACGGAGCGACAAGTGTCCACGCCCAGCTGCTGTGTGTCATTTCCGGTCGCTGGTAGTGCAACCCCTGTAACTACCCCAGTCATAGAGAACATGGCTTCTCCAACATGGAACTTCCAGCACCAGGCAAGGTAAAGAGGCTTGGAAGATTTCATCAACTCATTTCTGTTTGTCTCAAGATAATCTAAATGATTGAGTGGAGATAATTCACCCCTATGTTGGCGTGGATGTGGATGTGGAGGCACAATGTATCACATGGTGGGAGTGTTCTAAAATACAAGAGTATTTGGGGAAAATGGTAAGCTTGATTCAGAAAATGACAGAGGTTGATATTCTAGTAGACCCAGAGATTTGCCTTTTTCATAGTACTAAGCTTTCAGTTAAAAAATACAAAGAATCTGGTTTATTGTACTATTTGAATGCAGCAAAGGGACTGATACCCAAGTATTGGAGGAGACAGGAGGTGCCGAAAATAAAGGATCCGGTGGATAGGGTGGATCAAATATGTAAATTGAATGAACTTTATCATTTGAATGAAGATAAGATGGAGAGTCACCATACAAGATGGAATTCAAAAAGTCAAGGCTAGCCTTAGAGGTTATGGGGGATTAAAATTGAATAATATGGAAACATATTTTGTTCTTCTTTTATAGGGATTGCAATCTCCAGAAATGAACAGGAAAATGCAAAGCAGAGGGGGTTAGGGGTTGGATGGGGGGATGGGTGGTATATAGGGAGGGATGAAACGATAAATGTTTTGATAATATGCTGAGGTTTTAATGACTATGTTTGTATTACTTGTGTAAAATTTATAAATATTTAAATTAAAAAAAAAAAAAGATAATCTAAATAACCGTACTTATTAACTCCCTCCTTCTGGTGGGTGTCGGTCCTTTAATAGCGGAGGTATGTGATCACTGTTGCTGTCGCATATCTTGCAGTATTTCCTCTGTCACGCTGTGGTCACATTCGTTCCATGCACTCATTTGCAGCATGTTGGGTAGCATGGAAATCGTCCTGGACTTCAAAGGGCCCACTACTTCATTCCAGGGTGGATAAAAATCGATGATTTAAAAAAAAAAAAAAATTTTAAACAGATTTTTTCAATTAAAATCGGATTTTTTTTTTTTTATCAAATTTCTTTTCATAAAATGCTTATGGAGTAAAAATCTATCTAAAGATAGTTTTTTCTATTTAAGGTACATTAATAATTTAGTTTGTTCAGCATGAAATGGAGCTTCGTTATGTAGCATGAGGCTGTATATTCTGCAATATTTACATTTTCGGTAAACTCATTCAATGAATCCAAGCTCTGCAAGCTGAGATCACATGCACTGCGTTGAGGCATTCACACAATTTACAGTAACCATGAGAAAAAACATAAATAAAATAAAAGAATAAAGAAATAAAAGAATTTGAGTCGTTCCCCAGCTATGTGTGATGAACCTAAAATCAGTTCTGATATCGCTGGTTTACTAACCTGACAGCTTATTATTCTAAAAAGGAAACCTTCATTTGGTTTGAAAATATTAAATATTCTAACTAGCAGCAAGAATGAGTCGGATTCGTTAGATTTAAAAATCACCTGTCATTTTAGATCCATCATGTCATTGTTAGCGGGCATCCACTCGACCTACTCAACGCCAAACTCAACTCAACGACCTACTCAACGCCAAAGCCAAGGGCGACTACTCTGTCCTCCTTCTCCTGGACCTCTCTGCGGCTTTCGACACAGTTGACCACCCCCTCCTCCTTAATAAACGACTCTCCCTTGGCATCGGAGATACTGCTCTCTCTTGGTTCTCATCCTACCTATCCCTACGCTCCTTCAGTGTCACCTACAATGGTGCCACCTCCCCCTCCCTCCCCCTCTCTGTTGGGGTCCCCCAAGTCTCTGTCCTTGGACCCCTTCTCTTCTCCATCTACACCTCCTCCCTGGGCAAACTCATACAATCTCACGGCTTCAACTATCACCTCTATGCTGACGACACCCAAATCTACCTCTCCACCCCTCACCTCACCCCCCCCACTATCTCCGCCCGCATCACTCACCTCCTAAATGACATCTCAGACTGGATGTCGCTACACTTCCTCAAGCTCAACCTCTCCAAAACCGAGCTTCTCGTCTTTCCCCCTGCCAACACCCCCCCCCCCCATCCTATCCATCATCACCAACAACTCCACTATCACTTCCGCCCCGCAAGCCAAAGTCCTTGGCGTCATTCTTGACGCGAACCTCTCCCTCCAACCGCATGTTAAATCACTCACAAACACATGCAGGCTCCATCTTCGCAACATTGCCAAGATACGCTCCTTCCTCACCCCAGACACCACCAAACTTCTAGTACACTCCCTCATCATCTCACGCCTTGACTACTGCAACTCCCTCCTCACTGGCCTACCCAAGTGCAGGCTCTCCCCGCTCCAGACCATCCTGAACTCAGCTGCCAGACTCATCCACCTCACCACCCCGCTCCACCTCTGCCACCCCCCTCTGCCTCTCCCTCCACTGGCTCCCGATTGCCCAACGCATCAAATTTAAAACTCCTAACCCTGACCTACAAAGCCGTTCACAACACTGCCCCTGACTACCTCACCAACCTTATCACCAAGTACCACACCCTACCCGTACCCTTCGCTCCTCACAGGACCTCCTTCTATCCTGCTCCCTGGTCTCCTCCTCCCATGCACGACTGCAGGACTTCTCCAGGTCCTCCCCCATCCTCTGGAACTCACTGCCCCAATCCATCAGACTGTCGCCTTCCCTATTCACATTCAGGCGCTCCCTCAAAACCCATCTCTTCAGGGAAGCCTACCCCACCCTCACCTAACGGCCATCCTCCCTCATTCCTCCCACCACTTCATCCCCCTCAGCCACTTCCTACTGTACCTTTTACCCCCCCTCCCTCCTAGATTGTAAGCTCGTAAGAGTAGGGCCCTCTTACCCCTCGTACATTGTTTGTTGTTGTTGTACTGTGCCATGTTTTGTCCCCCCTATTGTACAGCGCTGAGCAAACCCTTTGGCGCTATATAAAACTCGTAGTAATAATAGTAATAATAATCCACTCACCTGCTGCCGCCACGTCCCTCACCTTGTTGTGTCCCTGCCGCATCACCAGCCGTCCCATTAAAGCGAGTGGGACTATCGGTGAGTCAACAGCGGGTTAGAGGAGGAACTGCTGCAGGACAGAGATGCTCATTATTATTTATTTCAGGTACTTGTATAGCGCCGTCAATTTACGCAGCGCTTTACATATATATTGTACATTCACATCAGTCCCTAACCCTCAAGGGGCGTACAATCTAAGGTCCCTAACTCGCATTCATACATACACATACTAGGGCCAAGTTAGACAGAATACAGTTACCTACCAGCATGTCTTTGGATTGTGGGAGGAAACCGGAATACCCAGAGGAAATCCACGCAGACACAGAGAGAACATGCAAACTCCAGGCAGGTGGTGCCGTGGTTGGGATTCGAACCAACAACCCTAGTACTGCCAGGCGGAAGTGCTAACCATTTAGCCACTGTGCTGCCTAAAATTATGATTTAAATCAAGCCTTTTCATTAGTGATTTAAATCGTGATTTAAATCAAGTCCACCCTGCTTCATTGTGAACCTTGCATTGTGCTGGAAATATCAGGATAGAAAGACCTGAGTTTTTGCAACATGTGACTTCCTGATGGCCACTCTGGGGTTGACTTACTAAATACGGTGAATATAATGTGCACTACAAGTACACTTGCTTTAGATCCGAAAGAAAGCTCTGAAATGAGGTGAAGCTCTGCTAATTTTGTTTTTTGTTTTTTTTTTTAAATTTTCCTTGTATATTGCCCTTAGATCTAGAGCAATTGCACTTTCCTTGTACGCTTGCAGTGCACAGCCTATTTGCCTTTAGTAAATCAACCCCAAAAGGTATAAGTGTATACCTTACTCTTCCCTCCAACACAAACGTGCTTTAAGAGACTTCATAGAGGCCTTGGTTAACAATTTTATTAATTTGAGAATAATTAACTGTTCCTGCCATGTTTGAAAATCATAGGGACTTGGAAGGAAATGCTGCTTCCTAAGCCTGTCCCCAGCACACAGGTTGTGTGATGTGTGGGGAATGGCAGCACTAGTCTCCAAGCAGTCCAGATAAATGGCTTTAGTGGGTCGTATCAGGGCTGTAGTTTGAGGACCCCTGTTTTAAAGACTTTAACAAAACTGCTTGAAGCTAACTGAAATCCTTGCAAATGCCTTGTAAAATCTTGCTGTACATACTGCTCTTATATAATATGAAGCCTGCATGAACAAGGCCTAAGTTTTCATCTTGCTGTGAAAGATCACGTTTGTCCTTTTTTTTTTTTCGTTCTGTAGACTGACTAAAGAAACTTCTTCTGGACCCCCAGCAGACTCTGGTGTTCAAGGTGTGGCATAAGTCAGGTGAGTAATGGATACTGCAGCAATGTCTATCCCAATATTCATACCGGGGGCGGGCTGGGCTGCTTTCCTTTAGTACAGTGTTCTCCAAATGCGGCCCTTTCCATGACTTTATCTGCCACTTGGGGCTGGACACTATTCCTCCCACTGACAGCAACATTCCTTCTGCTGACACAAACAGTGGGGTATTATATTTCCCACTGACAACAACAATGGGGCATAATTCCTCCCTCTGATACCAATTGTGGGGCATAATTCCTCCCTCTGATACCAATGATGGGGCATAACTCCTCCCTCTGATACCAATTGTGGGGCATAATTCCTCCCACTGATACCAATGATGGGGCACTATTCCCCCCACTGATACCAATGATGGGGCACTATCCCCCCCACTGACACCAATGATGGGGCACTATTCCCCCCACCGATACCAATGATGGGGCACTATTCCTCCCTCTGATACCAATGATGGGGCACTATTCCCCCCACTGATACCAATGATGGAGCACTATTCCTCCCCTGATACCAATGATGGAGCACTATTTCCCCCACTGATACCAATGATGGGGCACTATTCCTCCCACTGATACCAATGATGGGGCACTATTCCTCCCACTGATACCAATGATGGGGCACTATTCCTCCCACTGATACCAATGATGGAGCACTATTCCCCCCACTGATACCAATGATGGGGCACTATTTCCCCCACTAATACCAATGATGGGGCACTATTCCTCCCACTGATACCAATGATGGGGCACTATTCCTCCCACTGATACCAATGATGGGGCACTATTTCCCCCACTAATACCAATGATGGGGCACTATTCCTCCCACTGATACCAATGATGGGACACTATTCCTCCCACTGATACCAATGATGGGGCATAATTCCTCCCTCTGATAACAATTGTGGGGCATAATTCCTCCCATTGATACCAATAATTTGGCTTACCATTCCATTGATGGGGAACTATTTTCTCCTGCTGACCACAGGCATTATGTATTATTATTTTTTTTTTTTTTTTATTTTTTTTTTTTTTACTCTCACTGACCATCAAGCCTGAGACATTTACTCTCACTAATGCTTGAACATTTTCTACCCCCAACGGGCCAAAGTCCAGCCCTCCCCTAAAGTCTAAAGGACAGTAAACTGGTCCTTTGTTTAGAAAGTTTGGAGATCGCTGCTTTGGGATGTTTTTATTCAATCCAATATTATGTGTATAATGCTGAAGCGCCAAAGCTGTGTGGCCATACGTAATATACGTTATCAGTTATCCCTAACTTTTAACTGCTTCCTGACCGCCATATAGCAGATATACTGCTACAGGGTGGCAGGGGTGCGCAAAATCACGTGTATAAATGCGTTATTTTGCATTTCCAGGTAGGGGGAGCGCGAGCGCCCTACCCGCGGTGCCATTTCACTGCCACTGCTGGCAATCACCGGGTCCCGGCTGGTGATTACTCGCCGGCGCCCATGATTGACGAGGATTTCCAACTGGGAGGAGAACTGTATGTAAACAATACAGTTCTCCTCCCTGTCAGCTCGTGAAGCACCAACGAACAACACATAGTAAAACAGCACACAGTTAACCCTTTGATTGCAGCTCATGTTAACCCCTTCCTGCCCAGTGTCATTAGTACAGTGTCGGTGTTTTTTTTTTGCACTGATCACTGTATTGGTATCACTGGGGATGTCAGCGACACCAAGTCAGTTCCCCCCCAGTGTCAGAATGTCCGCCTCAGTCCTGCTATAAGTCGCTGATCGCCACCATTACTAGTAAAAAAAAATAAATAAAATTCCAGTATCTACAGTTGTGTCCAAAATTATTCAACCCCCACTGAAATTGAGTGTTTTGGCCAGTTTGACATTGCTTTTGATCATTCAGTCATCTTGCTTACATTTACATTAAAGAATTTGTAGGTCAGACAAATATAATAACAGTTATAATGAAATAACCACAAATGTCTTTGGTGCCACAGCATTATCAGTTTTTTATTCAACCCCCAAGTGACATTCAATCTTAGTACTTAGTACAGCATCCTTTTACAGTTATAACAGCTTTTTAAACGTGAAGCATAGCTTGACACAAGTGTCTTGCAGCGATCTACGGGTATCTTCGCCCATTCTTCTGGGCAAAGGCCTCCAGTTCAGTAGTCACATTCTTAGCTTGCGCACTGCAACTGCTTTCTTTATAGTCCCACCAGAGGTTCTCACTGCTAAGTCAGGGTGACTGCGGGCCACTGCGCAAAAATGTTCCAGCGTTTCCTCTGCTAAATGCGTTATTGCTTGGGATCATTGTCCTGTTGAAAAGGGTCTCCCAATGCCTCAGGTGTGCGGACGAGCGCCCCATCCAATTATCCCTGCGAAGAGAATTCATGGTACCATTCACACGCTGAAGCTTCCCTGTACCTGGCAAAACAGCCCCAAAGCATGATTGTCCCGGCTTCACAGTGGCAAGGTGTTCTTTTCCGGCGCCTTGTTCGAGGATTCCTCCTCCAAACATAGCGTTGATCCATGGGCCCAAACAGTTCTAATTTTGTTTCATGTCCACAGAACAAACAAACTTTTTGTGGTTTGTTGGCTCCATACTGCAGTCGACTCTTCTTATTGGAGACAGCACCCTGGGAACGGAACAACACATAGTCTTAAAACTTCACCCACAGTCTGACAAATCCCTTTGATCCTCAGCAGTCTCGGGGACTGTTAACCCCTTCAGGTAGCGCCCAGTGTCATTAGTACGTTTCAACAGTGCCTTGAATTTGCGGTGTTTTTTTTTTTTAACATCTTTGCAATCTTCTGAGCCATTGCACTGTGATTGGTATCACTTGGGGACCATTCTCTTGCCTTCAGCGTTTGTAACCACACCAGTAAATGTCTAGAAGGAGCTGAGTATCACAGTCATTTTAAAGCCCTAATTGTGCTTATTATGTCCGCCTCCACAGGTGTCAATACCTGATAAAGCACCTGTAAGTCGCTTCAGAGTGGTAGTCGCCACCAAGGGGTACTAGTGGCAAAAAAAAAAAATAAAACCATTTACTAGTATCTATTGACCTCATTTTAGTTGCATTTGGGTAGTTACGCTATAACTTTCATTCTGAATACAATTCCAATTACACTTACCCTAAACCCCTGTATTGGGGGTTGAATTTTTTTTTTTGTAGCAAAGATAACTTTCAAAATACATTTTGGCCTTTTTTTTAGCAAATATTTTCAAAATACTATTTTTAAATTTTATTTTTTTTATTGTACATGTTTAATAGCAAAAGGTCAAAAATATTTTTTTTGTTTTCTCAAAATTGTCTTTTTTTTTTTTTTTTTTTTTTTTTTTACTAAAAAACACACAGGTGATCAAATACCACCAAAAGAAAGCTCAATTAGTGGGGAAAAAAATGATGTAAATTTCATTTGGATGCAGCATTGCATGACCGCAAAATTGTCAAATAAAATAATGCAAAAAATGGCCTAGTCAGGAAGGGGGGGGGGGGGGGTAAATCCTCTGGAGGGGGGCAAGTGGATTAAGTAGACCTGAACTGGAGAAGTGCAGATTTACTATATTAAAGGGCCTAATTGCGTCTGAATAGTACCCTGAAAATATATTACCTATTTCTTGAATGCCTCCTGAAAAAATATCTCTGCGTTCCTGCTACTGGGTCTTCAGTATCATAGCTGTATATCTGTAGTGTGAGATGATCTGCAGCACTGCTGCTTCTGACTGCTAGTCTGACCAGATTTGCGGTGAGATTAGGTGAAGTCACTACTTTACTGCTTTCTGTTCTCCTTACTTGATAGGAAACTGTACCTGAAGACCTGCCATGCAAGGATCCCCTGCTTCTGCTTCATCCATTCTATGAATGTTTGCTGTTACACTTCTGCTGCTTCTTGATTGTAACTGTAACGGAACCGGACCCCGACTGCACTAGGGTATTTCCGTTAGACTCCTGTTTCCCTGTCCGAACACAAACCACGGACACCACTCTTGAATGAAACCAGGAAATAGACAGCTTTATTTTAACATGGATACAAGATATATACACAGGGCAGGGCAATACACACCCAGTAACAAGAAACACATCAGCAGGCAGTCCCCATCAGGAGGAAGGGCTACCAGAAACACCCCCACCAAGCCAGTACACAAACACATACATCCCATAATAGTTTGCTCCCAAGCAAGACACACAATAGAACAATGGGATTAAACCATATGGCATTAAACAATGAACAACCCCCACCTATACATGTCTACACAATATCAGGACATTTCACTCTGCACCTCTAACAGACACAGGGTGACTTACACATAAGAGGGATATGGGGAGCTGAGACAGGGGTCTCCCCACCTCTCCAAAATGAGCTGTGTTCCCCCACCCAAAGTGACTCCCGTCACAGTAACCTCATCAGTAATGAGGTGATTTGAATTGCAGGATTTCATAGCAGGAGAGGAGGTGCAGGAAGAACAGATTCATAGACTGGATGAAACCGAAGCAGGGAGATCCTTGCACTGCAGGTCCTCATGTGTAGCTGCTTCACTACCTCTGCTGCTGCTGGATCATTTCCTCACCAGTCTTCACATCAGTAGTAATGATGTCACAACACAGCAGGGGAGATGCCAGGAAGCACAGATCCATAGATTGGATGAAGCAGAATCAGGGAGATCTTTGTACTGCAGGTCCTCAGGTACAGCTTCCTCTCCAGCATGAACAGAGAGCAGGACAGTAATGGCATCACCAAATCTCACTCCAAATCTGGTGAGACTAGCTATCAGATGCAGCAGTGCCTTATGATCTCTCATTGAAGAAATGCAGCTGTGAAGCTGAAAGCACTGTATTATTGGGAGGAATTCAAGACATCAGGTTGGTTTATTCAGGGTACAGCTTAGGTACAAATAACATTTGTAGATGAATTCCAATAAGATAGTCATACTTCACTTTTTGAGCTCTGGAACTCTGTAAATATTTAGCATCTAATATTGTAAAGTATAATTGTGTAGTAAA